CACGTGCTGGATTTCACATCGTGTGGGAAATTCCTAGCAGTTACATGAAAAAACAAATGGAAGCAGAAACTTGATTTTAGCATATGAAGGCAAGTGAGAAACACAACATGTTTAACTATATCTCAGCAATGGCTTTAGACAAGTTCTATAAATCATACACCTGTCAGTGTCATAGGGTCCCATAAAAACAAACAAAAAACAATCAAAACAATGGCTTCCTAGAGTGTCCAATGAGTCAGTTAAATTGAAGACAGAGAGGTCAACTCAGAAGGTTATGGTACCTATTTTGGAGGAATCTCAAAGGTCTCATCTTGATAGATCCTCCTCAAAGACACGGGGCAACCATGGACATTTATTATGAGACCTTTAAAGAAAATCACTGCACTGGTGAGCAAAGGTATAGGAAAGATGCAGCGATGATTTTTTTCCCCCATCAGCAACACAGCTGCACAATCTTCAGGGGTAGCAAGTGCTCCTCTATGAGCATTTCTTTGGGGAAACTGACCCCATATCCTTACAGCCTAGATCTTGCCCCTTTAGACTTCCTTCAGTCCCCCAAATGCAAAGAACATTTAAAAGGAACACAATTTGTATTGCTTGATGATCCCGAAAGTTCTGTTTTCACCCACTATAAATCAAAGCGCACAGAATTCTTCTGGGGAGGGCTGCCAAGACGGAAACTGCTTTCAGAAGGGTATGGTTCTGGATGGAGGATCTGCTGAGAAGCAAAAGCTTCATATTTTGATGTTTTTATTGAATAAAGATTTCTGTGATTTTGTAGCAATTCCTATGGACTTGGTTCTCCTTAACCCATGGCTCCATTTAACCCAGTGTATCTAAAATGTTACTTCGTTTCACAATACAAACAGCTTGAGATACTTCACATTAATTTTTCTCATACTCAATCTTTGAGGTCATCTGTGCCATTCATGCTTGTTTTACATCTCAGTGTAGACCGACCAGATTCCAAGTTCTCAACAGCCGCGTATGCATCGTGGCTATTGTGCCGGGCAGCTCAAGTCAGTTCATTGTCCCGTCTGGGAGCCTAGAACAGTACCTCCGATGTCGCCAGACCCTTGCGTACGGAGGGGATCTTGATATTTCAGAGTGAAAAGAGACACATCGAAGCTATTTTCAAAAATGCTTTAGACTTGATTTTGTTGAGGTTGTGGTCATGGATGCTAAGGCCATTTATATGCTTTCTTTAAACTTCTATTTTACTTGGCTTATGTGAAATCTAACTGTTACTCGTGTTGGTAAAAACTGGTGACTTCAGTAGTTCAATTGGAAAGATTCTTTGAATGGTTGATGTCTTGAAAGAAGCAACCAAGAGTTTCTTTAAAAAATGATTCCTCAGAAGAAGCCTCGGCAAGTCAGCAATGGAAAGAGGTAACGGGGAGAGCAAGAGAGACTTCATGCAGAGACATGGGTGTTAATTCCAACCTGGCCTGGGGACATTAGACAAGTTGTTTAACATCTTTGAGTCTTAGTATTCTCATTTGTAAAAGGAGGAAAGGAGAATTTCATCCATCATACTTGTCTTCGTGGATTAAATGAGATCACATGTATACGTAGTCCAGGACGGTGAGTAGAAAAGAATAATGACCTAATAAATGGGAGCAATTACCATTATGATGATGTAATAGAAATTGAACTTTTGAATATTAAGACCCTTTGATCTTCATCTTAGGCATTTTAGTTTATGTGCTTAGGAATTTGAGGTTCTTGATGGATAGTGGGTATAACATCCTTATAGGTCTGGATTTCAAATTTGCTCTATGACTTGCTTGCAGGTCTCATTATTCTTTCAAGTCCTCCCTAGTCTCATGTGGGGGGTTTGAAAAATATAGTAGGTGCCTCAGACATGGGTCTGCATTTCACAAAGGCTCAATGTTTGTCTGATGATACTGATCGCTATTTTCTAAAAGTAGTTAAATTTTTATTCTTTTACTTTGTTTTGGTTACTCTAATAGGCACTTCTATCATTTTTCTGGAGAGACATCAGCTAATGTTAAAATGTATTTCTGTGCAGCCAGTTCAACACATTCAATGTGATGTGTCATACATAGTCTTCTTTGTATGTTTTTAGGTTAACCTCCTTGTCAGTATTATGAAAAGTAGGGTTTGGATTTAAATTATAGATATGAAATTACGCCGTTTGTTTCACGTTCACTCGGAAGAAATTAAAACTATCAACTGGCAGGCCATAAAGACAGAAGGTTCTAGGTATTTTGTGAGGCTTTCACAGCATGCATATTTCAGCAGTTGCCATTTAATTACATGCCATTGGTCTCTCACATGGGAAGGTAGGCTTAAATTCAGGGAAGACGGTCTGCTGACTTTTAATTCCATGATCCCAACATCATAAATACAAGAGCTCTACAGGGATTCATCAAGTCCCCTGTATCAATCAGAAATAAATAAGATAGGATTTTGAAGTACTGTATTTTTTGAAAGATTGAAAGATTGCCACACCCCCCCAAGGAACCATTTATCCAGTTCGTGTCTGCAGTCCCTTCTTCAGTTACCACACTCACTTCCCGGGCTGGGGTTAGGCACGCTCCTGCCAGCTGAAGTCGGTGGCTTGAATTCACTGGCCTCTTTGTGGAGGAAAGATTACAGCCCTGCAAAGCCTATGGAGTAGTTCCACTCTGCCCTATAGAATCACTGTCGATGAGAATAAACCCGTCCGTCCGCATTGAGGTTAAGAGGTCCACTCTCGTTGTTGCTGTGCCCTCAGTGTTTTCTTTGGTCATTTCACCAGATGTATTGAAACCGAAAAACAAACAGCCATCCAGTGAATTCCAACTCGTTGAGTCCCTGTAGGTAGAGCGGAACTGCCCCTGTAGTTTTCGGAGGTCATCAATCTTCTCAGGCACAGAAATACTCTCCTTTCTCCTGCGTTAGTGCTGGTGGGTTAGAACCGCTCCCCTTGGGGTTAGCAGCCAATGAGTGGTCCACTACCTCCCCCCCATAACTATGGGTAATTATATAGTAAAAAATGAACAGATGTGTTCTCTATTACAGCTATTGCTTTGAGAATCACTTCGGAGCATCAAGTTTTATAAAGTCATGAATATGCAGAAGAAAGAAATTTTATTTTCTGTTTCAAAACATAGGAAGCTTGCCTGGTTCTGACCCTTGGTTAGTTGTCCATAGTGGTTTGGAGCTTCTGGCAACAGCACGGTCAAGTTATCAGTGGTCTTAAAGAAAGTGGCATTCACGTTAGGTGATTCTACAAATTCATTGACCAAGTCATTTCCTTTCTGGTGTCGAATCTTTGGAAAGCACCAATGAAACGATAGATATCTATGTGAACAGATTTTTTTCCCCTTTTGATTCCTTTCCTTTTACTTAGATTTTCATGTATATCAGATTTGGGGCATTTGTTGCTGAATGATGTTTTTTACCTATGAAAGAAAATATTTTGTTTGTCTTTTGATGAATTTTTCTGTACCTCTCCATCTCATGGTGCAATATTTCTTATGGAGTACTTAAAAGGTATTACATAATCTGACAGGAATGACTGTCTTTTATGCTAACCAGTCTAATTTTCATATTACATAAATGCATATGCAGCATGCCAAAGAGAGTACACAGTTAAGAATGTCAAACAAATAATTGATTTTCCAGGCTTGGAGTTTAAAGCAAATAACACAGAGTTTTGAAAGTGTAGTGTATTTTGAAAGTTTGTTTGAAGCATTTTGAATTAGAGAAGGAAAAACTTACATTGTGAGCTAGAAAGACAACACCAAATACCTTTAAAATTTAAAACATACCCTTATGTGGTTCCATTCATATCGAAGTTCATGCCACACAAGTTTCCCCTTGACGTGACTCATTTTTCATTCCCAAGCTACACATTTGGAAATAAATGCCTTGCATATTTTCAGTTATGCACATAGGCCTTGGTACTAGAAATATTCAAACTATGTCATCTCTATGTCCGTGTCACGCATTTCCCATCATCACTGCTAACATTTGAAATGGAATCCGCCTTTCCTACAATGCCTCTTCAAAAACCAAAGCCAACCCTGCTCTCCTCACTTTGATTCTGACTCATCACCCCGATAGAACAGAGTAAAATTGTCCCTTTGGGGGTTTTGAGATTTTATAGCTGTCCAGGAACAGAAGACATCATCTTCGTCACAGTGCGTTGGCTCATCTGGCCTTGTAGTGAGCAGGTCAGTGTGTAATGCACTGCACCACGAGGGATTCTTTAAACCAAACCAACTCATCGCCAGGTGCATGGTGACCGTAATAATGCGACATGGGCATTGGTGCTGGATGTAAAATTTCAAAAGATGGCAGAGTTGTGCTTTGCTTTATTTCAGAGAATATGCTACCAGCTTTTGCCTAAAAATGGTTAGCATGTGTAGTCATGGCAATGAGGTATGTTGACCCTTTATCTTTTGTGGATTAGCAAACCACAGAGTTGAGCTACAGTGTGCAAAATACACTGCATATACTTGTGAATAGTCTCCCAGCGATGCCAAAACTAAATTGATATGCTGATACAATATATAAAACATACAACACCGGATCGAGAAAATGAAAAGTCATATTTGAGGGTTTTCGTTAACATGATGCTTTGCCCCAGAACCTGGTGTTTCTTATTGTGCATTTTACCAGGAGACAAGAGTAGAATCAATTGGGGAAACAGTTCTCAGTGAACTGAAGACAGTATGGCTTTCTAGTTCCCAAGTGGGAAACCTGGTTCTTTGGTTTCTTTGTTCCCGCTTGGGTGGCTCCGGAGCTGCTTTAACTGTACGTTTTGCATGCTAATGGAGCCTAGGGAAGTGCTTTTGGCCAAGGGTCCTGGGACAATAATGAAGTACACTGTGTAGTACTGGCTACCGCCGCTGTTAAACGTGAGGGTAGTTTACAGAGATCCTGGTGAGCAGAGCTACAGTCACTCTCGGTGTAATCAATGTATGACCTTTGAGTAAGAAAGTTGTCTTTTCATGTAAGGATGACAAGTATTTTTTTTTTCCTTACAGGTAAAGAAAACGTGCGCAGAGTCAGATGTTTCAGAAGCCCAGAATCCCAGGTACAGTGAAATTCAGCCTAAGACTCCACTCGGCAAAATAGCAATTTCAGAGAATCAGCAGAAAGGAGGGCTGGTGGTTCTGTGGTTAAACACTGGGTGGCCCATGGAAAGGCCGGCAGCTTGAACTTACCAACTGCTGCCCAGGTAATGCAGCGAGGCAGAGAAAAAGAGGAAGGCCCTCAAGGAGGTGGATTGACGCCATACCTGCAAGAATGGGCTCAAGCAGAGGAACAATTGTGAGGATGGGGAAGGACAAAGTCCTGTTGTGCATAAGGTCGTTATGGGTTGGACTCACTGGTACCTAACATCAACAACTACAATAACACAGGAGGAAAGTCCTGGTTGTCTCCTCTTATAAAGATTCCAAAAAATAAGCTAAACTCAGTACCATCAAGCCAGTTCCTACCTATAGAGACTTTGTAGGACCGAGTCAAACAGCCCCTTGAGGTTTCTGAGGCAGTTGATCTGTATGGGAACAGAAAACCTCTGTCTTTCTCCTGTAGAGCAGCTGGTGGTTTTGAACTGCTGACTTTGTGAATAACAGCCCAACTCTTAATCCCTGATGCCACCAGGGTTCCTTCACAACCTGAGATACACTATGGGGCAGTCCTACTCTGTGTTATAAGGTTACTATGATTTGAATCGACAATAACAACAGAAGTTATCCTCTTGACATACATAACTGTGAATTTAAGCATTGCATTTCCCTAAGAACTGATACGTATGGAAACTATAAAACATCTTGTCCATCTGTGTGAGTATCAATAAAGAGTATTGTGGTGGAAGTCAGTTTTAAAGAGAAAAAGAAACATTTCTAGAAGTATTTGCAGGTATCCCTTTATTAGATTCTTATTTTAAGGTAACCTTGATTTTTCTCTCTACCTCTTCCAACGTGTTCATATTGGAAATTGTCCCTGAAATGGGATAACTTTCAAGCCTAACTTTTATGAAAACTTGAAAAAAACATTTTATTTCAGTCAAATATTGCCAGATTTGGGGGGATGTAATTAAGTTAGAAAAATCAGAATTTACTCAACCTTGAGTTGTTTGGAACGCATAGAAATTAACCCTTTTGGTTTTCTGGAGAACATAGAAATGTTGAATGAAAGTGGCCAGGCCACTACCTACAGAAATTGAACACCGATTAGCTATTGGGACAGATGCCTGATCATGGCAGGCCTCACATTTTCATTGCTTATCTATTCATTTATTTATTTATTTATTTATCCAAAACGGAGTCTTCAGTTTTAAATGCTTCAGTACAAATATTGTACATCATGATAATGTTAAGTCCTTAATACCCTCGTAGTGATATGACAACAAATTAAGGCATTCTATTTGATAGTAAAGGTGGGTCTTATTTTACCATACTTACTCTGACATACAGTGTGTACAGTGACTTTCTTAGCACAACAAAACAATCAAACATAAAGGAAAATGTTAACAGCCATTATATTTTCCTTTTCAAGAAAGACGATGTATTGTCGATACCTCATTCTCAGTTTGAGTACGTTGTTTTTTTTTTTTATTTACACAGCCTGATGTTGTTCCTATACATTCCCTTAATTGATTTCTATAAGTATTAAGTGATGGTGCATGGCCTTTTCCTTCGGATTGGTAAGATTATATAATACGATGAAGTGCTGTTTTTACTTTGGATCTCTGCTCTTTATACATAAGTATCAAAATGGAGCCAAAGGTGTTTAGCTTATGGGCGGATCATTAGGAGATGGTTGAAATATTAAAGGATTTTATTTTATTTTATTTTCATGATAAAGCAGCATAATCCCAGGATATGAACAGGGAAGGGAGACCAGGGCTGCATCCTTTCTGGGTAATTTTCTTCCTGATCTTGTTGTTGACCTCGGTGAGTGACATACCTGGGGCACACTTGACAAGAATTATGTATTTAGATCATCTTGACAGGCAGATCACCTTGAGAGTTAGTAGAAGGTAAAATCAAACCAGAACAGTATGTATAATTGTCCTCATTATTAATATTTTATATCAAACTGTTTTACCCTTGAGTCCATTCCAAACTGTTTGACAAATAAGTATGCCTCAATAAAAGTTAAACAGCCAGAAAAATCACTATTTGATTCAGTGTTCACATTGAACCTGAAAATTAGAGAAGATGCCAAGAAGGTGCTCAGTGCATTTCAGCCTGGGATTGGGACATTTTTGTTTTATCAAGTGACTCACAGCCCAGATAACTTTAAAAGTATGAATTCTACTTTTAAGGTGAGTTTTGTCTGGAAAAGAATATTCAAAAGTACTTAGTCATTTGTAGTATGTCTCTCCTAATTGAAAGGCGATTGGAGGTCTTAGAAACCAGCATTTGTTCATCATGATTAGCTGCTCCTAAAAGCTTCCTTGTATAAAATGAGCAAATGTAGACAAATCATCGTAGTGCGACTCTAATGCTTTGTGACGTCAAAACAAACAAATGAAACACTCCTTATGTATTAAAAGCTGAGCTGGGTAGCCTTCCATGCTCCCTTAAAGAAGTCCCTGACCGGCTCAAGGTTGCCGAGCCATTTTGCGAGTTACAAGAGGCAGTGTCTCCACAGTAGTTGGTGTCAGTAACATGAAGACGGGGCTGCCTGCATGGTCCTGCCACAATAGGCTATTCTTGGAAACGCTATTCATTCACAGATACTAGTCTGGGAATATCAAAACTGGCAATTAGTCAGAGCAACGATGAAAAAACAAAGAGAGAACAAAAATGTGCTGGAGAACATTGTGTATAAGAAGGATACAATAGCACACTGAGTAGTCAAAACATAAAATGCTGCCCAAACCAATATTTGTTGTATGCACGTGCTGGGGTCCAGCTTTTAGAAGCTGGCCTTCCCAAACAACTAAACTTAAAATACAGCCAAACAAAACATGACGCAACATCGTACAACTCGACACACCACAATTAAGCGAGCACACATGTGCGTGCCTTCTCTTTGCTCATTAGAAAGCACTAGCATTCACACTCACTCTCTCTCTACTTCCCCTCTCCCCCTCTCCTTTTCCCTCTGTGAGAGAATGAGATGGATGAATTGATAATTAAAGCCTGAGGGTACTTAATCCTATTTTTAAAAATAATCTTGAATAAAGAATTGAACAGAACACTGCATCAGCATAAAAGGTAGGTTGGAAACCCACTGCCTCACCAAATACTGCTGCCCTGGAATCTAAAGCTAATGCCATTCATTTATTTAGTTAGCTTTACAGTGTGTTAGTTTTGGATTTGGAATGATTAGAATACATGCAGATGGAAAGTGTTTTTATGGTAGGGAAGTAATTAAATTGGGTGTGGAGTCTTTGTGAGGCGAATTCTTGGAATGACATTTGTGTATCAGCAAATTCTTTGTTTTGCTCAGCCTTACTTTTTCCTCTGGAACCAAACACTTGGGCTGCAGATGTGGCTGGTAGATGAGGGTCATGGAGGGTTTCCTAACCTGTGCAGTGATGTCTGCCTAGAACTAGTATTGTACATATGTACAAAAAATAAAACAGACACTCAGCACAGTATATTCTGTTTCATAAAATGATTTTGAGCTTGATGCAGGCATATATAATGTGCTTTGTGTTAAAAACAAAACAAAACAAACCCCTGACATTCCTGAAATGTATTTTTCATTTTACTCTCTTCTACATGGTTGACTCATGTTCCTCACATACTGTTATCGGCTTCTGTTTCTACCGCAACTGTTAACCACAAGCTCGGTACAAGAGGACATTAAGATTTCCATGATTCTCATATTGTGCCTTAATTTAAAATTAAGTTTTTTACTAGATAAACCATCTGAAAACATAAACTGCAAAACATATTTTTGTCAATTTTATTGGTTCATTTTAATGCTATAAATCTGTGCCCTTTCCCAGTTACCATTGAAAAGACATGATTCTTATTTGATATAAGAGTTCCCTGATGTGTCCAATTTATAGCAGAATATTCCATGAATATCATATTTGTGCTTTAACTTCTCTACTTTCATACCTTTTCATACCTGAAGATATGCTTTGTTTCATGCCCTCATTGCATTTTCTACAAACACCTTGGTGACCTCAGAGTGCCTTCAACAGCAACAACAACTAGAGCCCACGGACCCCAGGTTGACTGTGACTCCCTGCTTCCCCGGATCGGTTTTCTCAGACTGTAGATCTCTACAGTGGAGACAGCCTCGTCTCTTTCTCATCCTTTCTCTCGCTTTGCTTTGACCTTTCTGGGCCATTAGCTAGTAGAACACTTTTGCCAAGAAGAAATAAGGGCACTGAAAGAAAATAAAACTCAGAGCATGACATTTGCTCTCATCGTTGGCTGACCGACCAGGTTGCAGTGGTGGAGTACCATGGAGTTGGTTCTGACCCCATGGGACTGCACCACGGAACCAAATATGGCCTGCGTTGTGCCATCCTCCCAGTGGGGGCTATGTTTGAGCCCCGTGGTGAAGCCAGTGTGTCAATCCATCTCACCGAGGGTCTTCTTCTTTTTCTCTGACTCTTCAAAATACCCGAGACAGAGTCTGGCTTATTAGCTTCTAGTAGTCTTCTGGCTGTACGTCCTTGAGAACAGGTCTGTTTTATCTCCTGGCAGTCCATAGGACGTTGAATATTCTTCTCGGATGCCACTTGGAGATTCATATGTGAAGTGAATTGGGCTGCAAAGTGACTTCTAGGATTGGCACCAGGTATTTTCCTTAGTGGAGTCATTTCACGTTGGGCATAGTGCTGCCAGCAGAATACAGGAAGGATATCTGAGAGAGAATCATAGACTTACAGGATGCACCGATGGCATGGGAAATCTAAGATGATGCTAGTGTTTTTCTCAGGTAAAGAATAAAAAGTTGCTGAGGATAATAATGAGTGTTGGCTCTTTCCACTTCATAGGTTAAAGTACACTTCATGATAGCCTGAAATTACCAAGACCTTGGTAATGTTCTGGCTCTAGGATATATAAATTTACAGTTATCTAAACGAAGGAGCAAGGTCTCTTTGCTTCTTAA